CCCCAAAACCCCAAAACCCCAAAACCCCAATACTTTGAATAAAATGTTGAATCAAGGTTTAGATAAATAGATAAATAAATCATTTAATTTTAGATAAATCAATATTGTATACAGCATTATTGGTTTGTTGCTGAATTTGTAATAGAAGTCTATTCTGAAGCATTAAACTGTCAACTTCCCCTGCATTCCCAACTAACCCGATATTTTACTAATTTGAGCTAGCTCCCACATTAGTCTGTCTCTTACTGTTGAACTGGCTTTAGTCCCCCAAATTATTGGAGTTCGAAGAGCCGTCTCTGCTGCTAGCTCCTCTACCAAAGTGACTGTTTCTGTTGTGATTCATATTAAAGTTATTGAAGCCGCTGCTATTATTTGCATTGCTAGTCTGTTGCTATACATGTGAGTAGAAATTTTAGTGTCTACCCTGAGCCCCATTTGCCATCGCAATCAGTTTAATTGCCTCCTTAATCTCCTCAAGAGTAATTGAATGATTTCTCTAATTCCAAATAGTTGCAGTGGTGTGTCCATTTCCTGCTGATCCACCAAAGCCTGTATAATTCTGACCATTGTTTGTCGTTGGCGTGTAAGATCTATCATTCTACTGTATATTTTGTGTTTAGTTGTCATTAATGCTTTGAATGATCTCTCCTTGAGAGTTTTAGAACTTAGGGGAAAATTGAAGTTCCTAGTCATTCTAAGATCTGCTTCTCTAATGATAACTATTTTGCTGCTATTGCTGTTAGTACAATAGAGTTTACTGCTGCTGAGAAAGAGTTGAAGCCACTCCATTGATTCTGTTGGTGTTCATACCTCCATTGGTGGTATTTGAATATGAATTATGATTGTAACTCTGAGTGCAGTTCTGGCAGGGTATGTACCGATTGTTTTATTTTTTGCTGGAAAAGCAGGTCTCTCCACGAAGACACTACACTTTTTGCTAAAATATGTCTGGTGTGTGACTTCTTTATATCTACTATAGACTCTGTTAAAGACTCATATTAGCCTTTTTAAGCAATTCAATTTGGTTCTTCTGCAGCTTATTCTGCTTCTCTAGCTGAATCGCTTTCTTCTTTAACTGCTTTTACTGTTGATAGTTCATTTCAGGCCACAATCCAAATTTAACATACTGTTCTTTGAAGTCTTTGATATCATAAGACTACTGCTAAAGAAATGAAGTGGTTTAACTTGGACATATTGAATCAGTGCATGTGATAGTGTTTGGATTTCTTAGATTTTACTGACTAGACCCTCCAGTGTAATAGGTCCCAAGAGAATTATTCCCATTTCTAGAATGTTGCTGATTCAACCCCATTCTTTGTTAATTTACTTTGAGTTATTAAAACATCTGGGAATTGCTATCTTTATCACTCTGTGAAATATTGTTGTAATTGTAAGCTTAGTTAGAGTTCTTATTTCTAATGACCTAGGGGCAAAGCTAGTCTAAGATTGATTAGGACTAATCTTGGTTTGCAAATGATTGTTTGGCAGTTTTGACAGGAGACACTTCAGGGATGTTAAACAAACTCTACTCCTAGGAATCCCCGAAGCCTCCTTATCTTCGATCTATGTCCATTAGGGATAATTCCATTGGAGTGTTGTTATCTGGAATATAAAAATGAGGAGCTGTGTCTCTTCTTTCCAAATTATCTGCACTGCCTTAGTCATATTACATCAAAGGTTAGTCATCATTTTATGTCCTGCTAGTCAAAGGTAGATAATTATTTTGGAACAACATCATTGGTTATTGATTCATGTTAGCTATATTCTGATTATTTACCATATCTTTGAGGTTAGACTGTTTCTCAAACTCATCTAATAAATTCTTTGAGAACTGAGGAGATGAAGTTTTCCTGTCAAAGACTTTCTTCTACATGTTTTGGCAATGCTCACTTTAGTTTAAATGCTGCAAACCTTTAAGGATACATGTCATAGCTGCTATTTTATTTGAACTATAGCTGTGGTCATTCATACCTGAGGGATTTCCAAACATAGTTGTGGCTTGAGCAGCTTACTACATTGTAGTTTGTGGCAAAATTTAACAGCTTTGAGTCCTGTGGTGAAAATTGAAGCTTCCCTGCATCGAATTAGCCATAGTCATCTGGTTCGATGTAGCAGTAGTTGAGGGATGCATCTGAGTTGGTGAGGGCATTTAAATCTATTCCTTTTAGACTTCTATGCTCTATCTATTTGTATTAGAACCCTCGTCACCTTCAGTAATCACTTATTTCTGATTACTTTCTTATGTGTGATCACCAGATTTTTCCTTCTGAAATGTGATAGTCAAATCCTTTCTTTATCTCTTAATTTCTTGTACCTTCTATATTCCACCGTAATTAGCAACACCTTGCAATGCTCCTCCAATTTTTTGCTTTCCTCCATTACTAATTTGAATTTGTTAAGTTGACTATGACTATTGCATGCCAAAGTTTTTATAGTACTTGTTGATAACTGCGGTTGGACTCTTTTTTAGAGAGGGCCTATTTCCACTATCTGTTGTAATGAGCAATTATTTCTGACTAGAAATAGCTGGATTATTTTTTAGACTCATGCCGGTTTATTTCGGAGACTAGAACTGAGATTGAGACTGGCTGTGCACTAGTTTCTAAGCTATTACAGGAGCATTCTTTGTGCTTTTTGGATTCTCATTTGATATTGTGAAATTAGTAGACAGATTTTGAGAGGACAATTAAGCTTCAATGTTAAAGATTGAACTCTGATTGGTATTCTTGCTAGTTTTGAACATTGCATTTTTGCTATTTTATAAATATTGCCTCCTATCTTGCATTACTCTTATCAATTTAGTTTAAATTTAATAATTTAATGCCAGGTTTATAGCGACTATCTCAAATCAGCGGGGTTTTGGGGTTTTGGGGTTTTGGGG